TACTCATGCTCCTTCTCACTGCGTTAGTGCACCAATATATCATTAATGAATACTATGAAAAAAAGAATCAAGATATGGCTGGAATACACTGTTCATCAGATGCATAAATGTTTTTGGGGCATTGGTCAGCCTAAATGACATCAAAAGAAACTCGTAGTTACCATAACGGGTCCTGAATGTCGTCTTCAGAATATCAGAATCCCAAATCTTCAACTGGTGATACCCAGACCTCGAACCAATCTTAGAGAACACTCGAGCACCCTGTAGCTGGTCAAATAAGTCATCAATGCGTGGTAAAGGGTACTTGTTCTTTATTGAGCCTTCAAATATGAAATCACTCCATTGGAACATAGTCTAGAGAACGCCTCCACTCAACCTACGAAAACTAGGCATCCCCAACATCACGGTCTTAACGTGACATGGTGACAACCAGTCCATGCCTAATATCATACCAAAATCAACCATGCTAAGCAGTAAAAGATCCACTACCGTCTCTAATCCTCCAATAGTAACCATACACGACCGATACACATGGTCCACATAAATGGAATCTCCCACCGATGTAGATACATGAACATGCATAACTAAAGAGTCACGGGGCATATCCAAATAACGAGCAAAGTATGATGACACGTATGAATAAGCGGAACCAGGACCAAATAATACCGGAGCATCTATGTGGCATACTGAACCAGTGCCTAAGATCAAACAGTCTAGGGCTACCTTGAACTGACTGGGCCCCACCCCACCTGGTGGTGTAGCTACTCGTGCTAGAATCATCGGCTGAGAACTCTGTTGTGGAATCCTACCCAATAGTCTGGGGAAATCCCTCTTGAGATGACTCAAGTCCCCGCACTCGAAACTCTCCTCTGACGGAGCTACTTCCCCTAATAGTCTGAATAGCTGCCCGAGGCACCCTGTGTAGATAAAGCGTGATAAGAACTCTGTGCTGGCAATGTACTAAATGATGACTGAGTTGGGCATGCAATGAAAGAACTGTGTCTAACTGAAGAGCCACGAGGAACATGGCGAGCTGCCTGAACGGTCTACAAGAACGACCCCTGTTGTAATGGGAGTGACATCTTGATGAGGCACAGTTGAAATCACCCGAACTACGAGGCCTCTTGGCCTCCCGCTCCTCCTTGCTAGTCCGTGGGACAAACTTCTCTAAGAAGAGAACTGAGAACTCATTCTATGTAAGTGGTACTACACCGGCTACCCTACTCAAATCATAAGCCTGTCACCAATGGTAGGCTGTCCTAGTCAACTGAAATGTAGTGAATGAAGCCTCATTGGTGTCCAAAATACTCGTTGTGCGAAGAATCTACTGATAGCGGTCAATAAAATCCTAAGCATCCTCCAACTCCGCTCAACTGAACTCTAGAGGCTAGCCTCCCAAACCGTTCTGGTTCTTCTGCTCCTCATCACTCATATGTAGGCCAACATGGGCCCGAGCAGCAGCAACCAGTTGGGCTGGTAGTACCCCCGGTGTTCGTAGTCCTAGAGCTACCTGCTCTGGTGTATGGGCGGCGGGAGACTGAGCAGCTCCCCCGGCCTGAGAAGTGGCTGGTGCAGCTAGAACTAAGACTGCCTGAGGAAAGCTCGTGCATATAATTAAAATTTGGGCCAAAGCCTCCTGAAGGACTGGAATCACAATGGGCACAGTTGGTGCCTAAGCTGGTCCCACCAGCTCGATCACATCTGGTACCTGCTCCTGAGCTGGAGCAACTGGTGGCTCCACGGGTATTGCTCTAGCTGCAGTACGATCCACACCTCGCCCTATACCTCGGCCATATCTGGTGGTACTGGTGGCCGTCCGCCTGATCCGGTAGCACATGTCTTCACCATCTATGAGAATAGAAGAGTGAAGTCCATATTACGGAAATAACAAATACGCTCCACAAGAATACAAGAAAGTGAAGTTTCATAACAGTTCGATAGCTCACTACTGAAAAAAGCCTATTGCAACAGCCGGAAAACCGTTGCAACAGAGAGGTAAACCGTTGCCATAGAGCTATTGGAACGGTTTAGCGACCGTTACATACGCTGCCGTGCCAGTAGATCTAGAGTAACGGTTCTTGCAACGGTTACCTAAACCGTTGCTTAAGGGATATCTATGGCAACGGTTGTTCCTCTGTCCGAAGCAACGAGTATTTCTTTCCAGTTGTAACGGTTACAAACCGTTGCCATAGATTTTACAACAACGGTTGGCAGCCGTTACCATATAATTTGTTGCAACAGTTATGTAAGCTATTGCAACATTTATATACAAATATTCTAACGGTTACAGTAGCAGTTTCATTACGCTACTGTAACGGTTTTATTTCTTTTGCAACGGTTGTAACTACCTATTGTATCAGTTTGTTGCGCATTTTGGAACGATTTGTAAGACCTAATGGAGCGGTTTTGAAGACCTATTGGAACGGTTCTTGTAGACTATTTTAGAACAATTTGTCAGACCTATTGGAACGGTTTGCAAGACCTATTGGGACGGTTCTACTGGACTATTAAGCCGCCTATAAATGAACATTTAGATATACAAAATTTGTAATAACCTGAAGTTTATATAAATAAAAAGATAAAACACTTCATAATCTACATTGTCTCCATAAAACAAAAATATTTTAACCCAATATCACATAAGTTTTACATTTCAACACTTCAAGAGTTAGAGTAAGTTTCAAACGTTGATAACAAAAGATTCCTAGAACATGGACAACAATTCAAAGTTCTTAAGTAAGGTCTAGATCTTCACAATCTCCATCTTTCCTTTCTTCAATTGCTCCACCTACAAAAGAGGATAAATAAAATCATTATCCTTCAAGAGTTGGTTTATCATTATAAGAATGGGTATGGCCCATAAACAATGCATAAAGCACAAAGTTTTCAAATGTACTAGAATGTGTCATGTGGAACATATGCAATGCCTATACAATTGCTACAAGTCGGCATGACCTTTCTTTTTCAAATGTTTGAATTACAGGAAGTCCAAATATACTACAATTAGATGCCATAGTTTCTTTCATGTTATCCACGACAGGATGTGCTGAAAATTATTTCTAAGAAACTGATCAATTCTACTATATGATGGCTAGCGTGAAATAATCACTTGATGCCTCAACAAATTAATTTTGTTAGTGTTGGTACTCTATATATAGATGAAAAAATCTAACATGTTTACTATGTTATAAAACTTGAAATGCGTGGATTGTATATGTAAAAAACTTATCTTGAAAATCATCATTTTTATGCAAGATGAATAGTGTAAAAACAATAGATGATATGCTGGACTCAATTGACTCCTTATAGCTATAAAAGGGATCAGCCACATATGTGATATGACTATGCCTGCTCTGTGCCACTCTATCAATGAGATTATTTTAACTGATCGAAGAATTATTTGAAGATCGGTACACAAAATGCATCAACAATAAAACTGTAATTGGAGGCTAGCGAAATTTAGTTGGTATTAGCAAAATTACATTTAAACACAGAAGGTACACAAAATGCATCAACAATAAAGGATATAAAGGATATCCCTGGACAGATTCCTATGGAGATTGATTTCCAGAACAAGGAGGTTCGAACTACCATGATCCAAGAGAAACCTACTGATATAATACCAAATCTTGATATTGTCCAAAATAAGGCTCACATGGATCATAGCAGTACTGCTCCTGATGCTATACAATGCAACAACAACTCTATCCAATGTAATAGGCTAGCCAAAAACCAAACCAGCCGAGATATTACCAGCTCACAGTGAAGACAACCCACTAAGCTGCAGAGTAAGAAAAAGAGCTAAGAAAAAGAAAAGAATGCAGGACAGAACGTTGAAGAGGATGAGACTGGGTACGACAGTGAACAACAAGTTTCAATTGCAAGCTCGAAGGAAACTACTGAAGTTCTTAACCAAACTCCTGGCCCTCAAATGCAAGATCAGGAAGTTCAAAAAGAAATCAACAAAGTTGTTCAACAAGGGAATTTATCACCAAGAAGTTTCAAAAATAAGAATGCAACCAAAATCAAAGATCTTCCAAGTGAAACTTTAAAAAAGAAGCAGAAGGAGGAGAAGAAGAAAGCAAAAAACAAACAAAGATAGACGTACTGACCTTGATTATTACTCCCAGTAGATAGGCAATTGATTGGTTGCACAACAGCTTGTTGTGCAGAGGAACCTTCACCAGGTGAACGAGCATTCAAACCTAGCATGCTGGGATCAACCCGTAAATCTGGATTCAGAAGCTTAAGTTGAGAAATGATGTTAACTGCAACTTGTAGTTCCATGGCATCTTTCTGTGCATTGAATGTTTCATGCAATCTTTGATGCATCCTTTCTTCCATTTCCTCCAATTTTTGTTGCATCGCCTCATCAGTAGAGGGTCCCAAATCTCCCACTTTTCTTTTTAAGGAAGTCTTGGTAACCCCACGACCATATAATCTTAGGCAAACTGGATGCTCAGGTCCCATGACCGAAGCAAATGCATCAACTGATTGGCTGCCATCTTCACTTTCTTGTGTTGGTTGTAGTCTTTCCATTTCAGCCTACAAGACCAAATTGAGTCATTGTCAAATCAGAAAGTGTATGACACTGAGTCAATAACTAAGAACAGACAAATGATAACAAAAAACATTAAATGAATTACTCGTACAATTTTATTAAGAGTATCCGCGTACGAGGCCTTGTAAACTCGATCAGGTTTTCTTTTTCTTGTGGCCACAAAGATGTCCTTGCTTGATAGAGGCTCAGAAGTTTCTTTCTTTTTTTCCTGATTATATAAAAAGTGGTATAAAGTTAATAAGTTCATATTTAAAACAATAATAAGAAAGAAAATATGAAACCTCGCATATTCGAGCAAAACTTCTTTTGCCAGCAGTGTGTGGATATTTCAACTTTTTGCGATTCTCGATATTGGTTTGGGACATTTTCTGTAAATCAGCCAATGAATACAGAGTTAAATAATTTCTAATTAAACATAAACCAGACATTCTCAGCAAAATCATGGGATAGTACTTAGTTTTACCTTGTAGGCATCAGAGTTCCAATAATTAAGAAGATCCCTAAATTGAGATTCAGGAACATCAACTGGCCTTTTCTCCATTCGTAGCTCGTCATTCTCATAGGGTTTATAATGGTCGTTAAATAATTGAATCTTATACTTTCTCCAAGCATTTTGAATTGATTCAAAAACCCAGTTTTTTGAAGCATCAGGAATGTCATATTTTCCCTACAAATTAGGTACAGTTAGGTTAGTGTAAAAATATGAAATATCTACACAGAATATTGCGAACTTCAAACCTTGATATATTTCCACATATCTTCTTTTGTTTGAAGTTTCCTCCAATTAAACACATTAAGAGGACAAAACGCCGCATTCCTTGCCAATGTGCCGAGGAAGCTACCCAACTCTGCTAAATCATTATCACTAGGACCAATGGGTTGATTGTTCTCGTTTACCACAATTAGCTTGCGCTCTTTCCTACCATGAACACTTGGCATCAAAGTTTTTCCTATTTTTCTTTTTTCGGCAGAAGGACCTGCATTAATATTAAGTAAGAATAATCACCAAACGTCAATATTATTTGTTAATTTAACAAAATAAAATTTATATGTTCTTGCCTTGTTCCTCGGATTGTTCGTTTGTTTCTTGATTGGAAGAATCCTCAAATTTTCATGTACCGTTTGTGAAGTACGAGTGGTAGAATCCAGTGACTTTTGCTGCAATTGTTCACGTAATGCTTGTGGTGCAAGAGAGGTAGAGTTCAGTGACTTTTGTTGCACTTGCTCATGTACAATTTGCGCTGGAGGAGAAGCAGAAGGCAGAGGCAGTTGCAACAATTGTTCTTGCACTCGAGCTCCTAATTGCGGAAGTTGTTTTTCAATTGAATTCAGCTGATGCTTGTCATTTGTTCTTGTAGCTTGAACAATTCTTTTTGTTTTCAACAATGAAACCATTTGGTTCAGCAAAGATACAAGTGATCCGGCTGCAATGCAATTTTTAGCCTTTTTATTTTTACTTGAGTGCCCTTCCTGACTCAAGACTATTCAAATTCCTGTCAAAATCAAAAAATTAAATAAGAAATAAGTTACTAAAGAAAGAATAGAACATGCTTCTACATCATGCTTGAACAGTTGGAGTTGACATCTATTTAGATGCTGGAGTTGGAATTATATAATTCCTGATATAGAATTAAGATGCAACCAACCTGATAGAAATTCCTGAAAGCTGCCAAATCAAAAAGTCGATTTGAGATTCCAAACTTCTTCGCCAAACCTGTTAGACATGCAAGGTTCAGAAGATCGTTAATATACCACTCGAGTCAGAAGAATAGAGTAATAACATTAGATAAACTAGACCAGGACTGAAAGACATCTTTCAGCTAAAAAGAATCTGACCTATATATCTACGAATCTTTTTTTATTTGGGAAACAGTTACCACACTCATTGCCTCATATGGAGATACTAAAAGTGCCAATAAGATCCCTGATTATGCACGGATGACATGTCACTAGCTCTCCAGATGGATACGCCAGTACTAGCAGCAGCCAAATCCTATCGCATTCCCATTTTCTCATTCTCTTGTAGGGGCCCCAGAAAACTTTAGAAATTTAATAAAATACCATTTCCCTTTCAAAGAATTTTCCAATTTTTCAAATGAAGAACTGGCAAATAATTCCGCTGTACTACCAATATGAAACAATACGATTCTGTAATTTCAATCCCACTTGGATTGGCTAATGCTTTACTGCTGAAACCAAGTGAAGTACTTCAATTACCTAGAGCAAAAACAGCAAGTCACTCACCTTCTTCAGAGGCAAGTTGATTCCACGCATCCAACTTCAGAGCTCCAGAATCTGCCAGAAAAATAAGATGTTGAACTACTTATTTTGTCAACAAAGAGTTGAATGTTACGACTTCCACTCAAGTAGAGAAAAGAACTTGGCAAAGCAATTACTGTGAGCTTCATTATTGGAACATTAATATCTTATAACATGGTAGGGGATAGTTTAAAGATTGACATGGGTCCACCACCACCTTCACGAGATGTGCCAGCCAAAATAGCATTAGCAAGGTTATCCAAGGTTGTGGATCCAATTGTAGAGGCATATGACAAGTTGGCTAGGGCAAAAAAAAATTTGGCAGATGGACAAGGATCAAAGAATGATGCTGATCATGCAGAGGTAGTGGTCCAAACTGTTAAAGCTAATGAGGGTAATGGTGAGAAGATTCAACAGGTAAAGGATGCTAGTAATTCACATGATGGAGATGTTGAGACTGCTCGCGTAATTACTAAGGCATGTGGAGATCGAGCTGAGCATATTCCACAAACATCTGATGTAAAGGATGCAGGAGTTGAGGTGGAAAAAAATCCAATGCAAACCCCTGATAATGTAGTTGCTGCCCAGATTTTAGGCAAAGAAAAAGTCGGGAATAAGAGTGTGAGGATTGAAAATAACGATGGGAGAGTAGTTGCAGATGGTAAAGGGGATGATCTGAACAAAAAGGGAGGAGTTCATTTAAACAGTTCATTTAAACAATTTATCACAAATCAGGTAACCTCTCCTAAACTGGACCAGATAGTCAAAGATTGAGGTCTTACCACCACATTATCCCAAGATAGACGTTATGCCTTTTACATATCCTATACTAACTAAAATACAAGTATCTATCACTCTATCAGCAGGGAGGAGCCAAAACAAAACCGAACAAGCAACAACCAAATTTCAAGAACCAAAACAGAAAAAAACCTATCATACAAAGATATGTACCAAAGACTTGGAACTAGAGGAACAAAACAGATCTTGGCATTGTTACCTGGGATGATTGAATCCACCTGGGATGGTAAAGTCCCTGGGATGATTCTATCCACCTGAAAAATGTAAATAATCAGCCCATATACTCCAGTTATCGATACGACATAGAGTTAAGGTTAAAACATAGAAGTAGTACGTGTAACTTATACATTCCAACAAGAAATATTATATAAAAATTAATTAAAATTATATAAACAGGAGTAATTCTAAAATATTGATAAAAAATATTATTACTCACTCTAAACAGTATATATTTAAAAGAATATAAGAAGTTTCTTCTTTAATCATCTGATTCCATCCAGTCCCACTCAGTATCATCAAACTCATTCTCCTCTTCCGATGTTTCTATAATTGTATCATTTGAATGTTGTGCATTAGATGGAATATCAATGACATCAACGGGTACATCGTTTCTTGAGCATCCAACGTCAACATCAACTAATCCGCTTAAGGAACCAATGTCATCATTAGGCTCCCTCCAAAATGCGTCTTCAATATTGGGGCAATTCTCTTCCTCTAAATCATATAAATCAACAGGGACTTTATTCCTTGCATAATAAACATCTTTCTCAACAGGATCCTCCACATAAAAAACTTGATAAACTTGTGATGCTAACACAAAAGGGTCATCTGTACTACATAATTTCTTAAAGTACACACGGGTTAACCCATATTCATCTATTTCATTACGAACCCAGTTGCATCTAAATAGTACAACACTAAAACAACCCCAATAATCAATCTCAATGATATCCCGAATAGCTCCATAATAGAAAACCTCACCATCGATGGGATTTTGGTCCCTAGAGCTAGCAAAGCTATCGGTTGTTGCTGATAAAGTCACTCCACTATGTTGAGTCTTGCATCGAGAATCTCGTTCTACAGTTTGAAATCGGTATCCATTAATGAAATATGCAGTATATCTTTTGGCGACCGCATTAGGCCCTTTAGCTAGCCATCTTACATAATCGGGCACTTCAATATTTTTAACTTTCTCAGCAAACCAATTGTTGAATTCCCGACTATGATTTCTTGCTCTTTCCCATGCATTTAATCTACTGCGATTACCAATTAAATTCTTATGTTCCCTGCAATCATGAATATTTCAAGATCAATTATATCATTAAAAAATGAAGTATAGAATAAGTATTATATAATTTATCTTACTCGATAAACTTTTTCACTTGTTCATCTTCAGTATTGAACAGAGCATATCGTGTGCTTCATTACATAACTGTGGATCCATGTGAAAAGTATTTTTCTTCTTACTTCCAATTGGATGGCCTATAACAGGGAATATGGATGACAAATTTTGAGGGCACTCATCATCTACAATTGGGTATCTACTGAATCTTGTCTTCACACTGTCATGTAGGTATCTTGAACAAAAAATCAAACACTCTTCTTCCAAAAATCCCTCTGCTATCGATGCTTCTGGAGAAGATCGATTACGAACAAATGCCTTGTATTTACATAAGTTCCTCTCAATGGGATACATCCAACGAAGATGAGCTGGACCCCCAAGCTTAATTTCATTCACCAAATGAATAGGCAAATGTGGCATTATATCGAAAAATGTTGGATGAAAAATCTTTTCAAGCTCACAATTTATTTCAACAATTTCAGAGTTCATTTTTTCAAGATCTCTTGGCCTTATGACGTTACTACAGATAGCTCTAAAAAAATTACCCAACCTAATCAAGGCCAATGAAACACTCTTGGGAAACGTCTTTGTAACAACAACCTGGAGCAAGTAATGCATTAAAAAATGAGCATCATGACTCTTGTACCCTGATATTTTCATCTCCTTCACGTGCACGCGTTCTGAAATATTTGAAGCACAACCTTTTGGTAACTTGGCATTAGTTATAACGGTAAAAAATAAACTTTTCTCTTTTGGTTCATATAGAAACAAGATTGAGCCAAACTCACTGTTCCATCATCATCTTCTCTTGGTTGTAACTCCTTTCATATCCCCATTTCTTGTAAGTCATAGCAAGCATTTACATGATCCTTTGACTTTTTTTCCATTTCCAATAAAGTCCCAAGCAAACTGTCACATATATTTTTCTCGATGTGCATCACATCAAGATTGTGCCTCAATTTGTTATGCGCCCAATATGGCAATTAAAAAAAATAAATTTTTTTTCCACGGACCCTTGTTATCCCGAGGTCTTTTCTTTTTGCCCTTCCAAAAACATTATTGAATTCAAGCAGCTCTTGAACCACTTCTACACCCGACAAAGGAGTAGGTGCAGGTCTATGTTCCTTCTTACCATCAAATGACTTCTTATCTTTTCGCAAAGGATGATCATGAGGCAAAAATCTTCGATGGCCCATATAACACATCTTATGACTGTGTTTGAGATATAGAGAGCATGTGTCATAATTACAAGTGGGGCATGACAACCTCCCCTTGGTGCTCCATCCTGAAAGCATAGCTAATGCTAGAAAATCACTAACTGTCCACAACAAAGCTGCACGCATTTGAAATGTTTGCTTTGTCTCAGCATCATATGTTTCTATCCCAGTTTCCCATAGTTCCTTCAATTCTGCAATAAGTGGTTGTAAGTACACATCTATATCATTTCCTGGAGATGAAGGACCTGGAATGATCATTGACAACATGATATATTCTGGCTTCATGCAAATCCATGGTGATAAATTGTATTTCATTAACATGACAGGCCACGTGCTATGAGAAATGCTCATGGTTCGAAATGGGTTGAAACCATCACTTGAAAGACCCAACCTAACATTACGTGGATCTTTGGAGAAGTCGGCATGTAGTGAATCAAAATCCTTCCAAGCTTCTCCATCAGCAGGATGCCTCAAATTCTCATCATTAGGTCGTTCATTAGCATGCCATCTCATTGCAATAGCTGTTTCAGGACACATGAATATCCTTTGAAGCCTAGGCTTCAAGGGAAAGTACCTTAAAACCTTTGCAGGAACTTTAGAACTTGCATTTGTCAAGGCACGATTAGAACTTTTCCATCTAGAAGACCCACAAACAGAGCAATTATCGGCCTTTGCATTGTCATTCCAAAATAGCATGCAATCATTAGGGCATGCATGTATTTTATACCCAAATCTTTTATCATATTTTTAGCCTTGTTGAAAGACTCTGGCAGCTTAGCAAAGGGAAATGCCTCTTTTAGCAACTCTAACAAGTCTGAAAAGGCTACATTACTCAACCCATGCAAAGACTTAAACAAGTACAACCGGATGGTGAAACTCAGTTTATTGAAGTTTTCACACCCTGGATATAATTCTTGTTTCCCTTCCTCTAATAATTTAAAAAATCTCTTAGCATCTTCAGATAGAGCCTCTCTCATCCCTTCTTGTTGTACCGGCTCGCCTTCTACATTTCTGAATGTCTCATGAAGTAATCCATCAATATCATCACGCATGTTAGAACCTTCATCATTATTGCTTTGACGTGGTATAATTCTAGAGGAAAACCCTTCACCATGGAAAACCCATTCGGTGTAACCATCAAAAAAGCCATTAATGACCAAGTGATCCTCCACCATATTTCTATAATTCCAATAGCGATTAATGCATTTTGTGCAAGGGCATAATATTTCATTTCCATGGGAAGCTCGTTCAAATGCCTTATCAAGGAAATCATTCACTCCACGGATATACTCATCCGTCCATCTAAGGAGATGCATCCAACTTTTATCTACATTATCCATGAAAATCCTATACGACAAAAGTAAATCAACACAATAAACTAACAGAGAGAAAAAGAGGAGAAATAGAAATAAGTTGGGATTTATTTTCGCAAAACAATAACATTAATATTGAATACAGTGCTGCCTAGATAGACATTATTTCAAGTTCAAGTCTCTCTATGGTGAAACAACAGATCTAATGCAGTATCAATAGTTTTTAGAAAACACGTATCAAAATTTATCCTTTTTGTTTGTTGTCCAAGTCCAGCACTATTTCAAGGTTTTAAAGCTAAGATTCACAAGCACAAGGACCTAGCACTTTAGAGTTTACAAAGATGTCAAGGACCCGGAGCAGTGCTTATGCCAGGGAGGGGTATCTTAACCATGAACCCAATTACCTTTAGTCATCCATTTTTACTTTTACTCTAAGTTTTAGGCACATCTATATTGTCAACTTAGTAATTCCATATTGCCAGAACACAAGTAGTAGGCATATACGATCATGGTAAGCCTTTCAAAGGTTCAGATGCACAAATATTCAACACATTAAATTAAACATATATAGAAGACGTTTTACTACCATCAAAGTACCAAGATGTAAATAGTGCATAGCCAATTACAATATTGACCCCAGAATCCCTTATCAGAACACTAACACAAGTATAAGTCATAGCAAATGGACTAAGAGAGTCTAGTAATATTAGTGACTTTAAGATTGATCTTAACATGTCTCAGAACACTTAGAAGTACTATTCCTAATAAATTAAGGTTTCAGAGAGGTTTATTTAAGTGATCCGAGCACTAGAAGATGACACAGAAAAACATATGCCAGTCCCATTAGTTCTACTAAAAATTTATCATCTCGAGACCCCTTAACTGGTTCGGAATAACTAGAGCAGGTCAGTAGACATTTCAAATCAGTCCAGGGCTAGCATACACATGGCTGGAACCTTCGCTCACCAAACACCTAAACTAACAAGTTGTTCAAAATTCTTAGAGGTCATTGTAGGCAACAGAGACATCGATGTAATTGGAGAGGTAAGTATTTCCTAATGGCATGATATCTAGGAGTGGGTTATTTAATAGGTTTTTCAGGCTGCTAAAACCAAATAACACTCCATTTACGAACGGGTTTCTCTATACATAGTAATATCTAATTGAGTGCTGATTTGGGTTGTTGCAGTTGGATAGGTTCATTCCGAATCGATCAGCGATGGATATGGACTATGCACATTACATGTTGACAGAGGCAAAGAAAGGTAAGGAAAATCCAGCTGTTGACTCTCCCTCCAGAGAGGCATATATGAAGCAGCTTGCAGAAACACTCCTGTTGAGGCCTTTCCCAATGAATTCTCATCATCTGTTCAACAGGCCAAGCCTGCTAAACCCCGTCGACACATTCCTCAGGTTGGCATACATTACTCTGATTATTTCTTTCCCTATTTTTCTGTACTTATAAAAGGAAGAAATACAACAACAATGAACACTAAACCAAGCAGCAAACTAGCTAAAGTAATTCAATAAAAATCTCAAACCAGCTAATCCATTAACTCGTTCAAACTCACGTATCGAAAAGGTTAAAAAATTCAAATCTTTAACATTCCAACTTCCACCACTAACAGAAATTTCACATCTTTCTTCCTCCAACCACCAAAAACATTAAATTCAAGAAAACCCCACAACAGAAAAAGAAGAAAAATTCTTTATCGTTCCTTTAGCAACCCTCTTTACACAAACCCATTAAAAAAAGTAGGCGAAAAACTTGAGAGATAGAAAGTACCTGTGATTTCACCCGCTCAAATCCTAAGTCTTGGAATGATGTTAGTTTCTTTGTTTCCTTGGAGTTTCAGACGCCAACAAATTTCAGCAGACGCCAACAATTTATCCGTCGAGCAGTCGGATATCACAAAAAAGGATTTCTGCAATTTCGTTATCTCTAACAGAGAGATTTAAATATGGTTTTCTTCGAGCAATCGATGCTGGTTTAATAGGAGAAGAAGGTCGCCTTTTCCATGGAGATTTGGTGGAAGTTTAATGGCTGAAAGATGGTGGAGATTTTGGTCGGAGATGGGCGGAGATGCGCGATTAGGGGTTTTGGGACTTTGGGGATGTCGACACTGTATATGGATTAATTAAATTAGACACTTTATATTTTTTTTTCTAATTAATTAAAAAAACAATTTGTTTGGCGGGCTTAACAAAATTTTAGGAGGGAATAAGAAAAATCATTCCGTTATAACTTTTCCCAAAATTCCGTTCTAACAGTCCCGTTAAAATGTGCTATGGCAATGGTTGAATGTCAATGGTAACGGTTTTATATCAAAAGAGTGCTGATATCATCCACATTCTACGGGAACGGTTATAACCGTTGCTATATGTGCTTTATGGCAACGGTTCTATAACCGTTACAAAACAACTGTTACAATAGGCTCATTTTCTGGTAGTGGCTGCTCTATGGTAAGTACATACATTTTTTTACCAATCCGCAAGACTCTACTAATCTTGATCATGACCCGTAATACCTATGAACCTAGGGCTCTGATACCAGCTTGTCACGACCCAAAAATCCCAACCCATCGTGATGGCGCCTAACAAACTGGATAGGTATGGAGAAATATGATAATAAAGTAGAACAAAACAACGTATCTTATAAAAATAGCATAAGTCTGAAATATCAATGCGACAAAGTCTGTTAATACAAAGTTAATCCCCCAAAATCTGGTAAATACAGAGTCATGAGCTCCATAACGCGGAATATAAGTCTAAAATTGAACAATGATAACATTGTCTAAATTGTAACAATAGTATGGAAGCAAAAAACAAGTCAAAACTATGTCCAAGGATGCAGCTCTACCCCGCCTCTCGTAGATAGGCCAACAAGCGAGCCTACTCGTGATAGTTGGTCCCCACACCTGGATCTGCATAATTAAGTGCATAGTGTAGTATGAGTTCAGACCCAATATATAGAATAAATATCGTCAAAAGAAACAAGAATTATAAATGATAACTGTTATAACCTGTACAGTTTCATATAACTCAACAAGTACATAACAGTAATGTGAACATGTGTAAGATACTAAGAGGACTATCTGTGCATGTGTGTACCATTACTCATAATCTCTACTCACTCACGAATACAACATATAAGATGATATGCAGATAATCAGAGAACAAACTATACAAATTGCAAGTAGAGATGAAATGCAATTCAAAAATAACAATGCTCAAACTTTTCTCAACTTTTCCATATCTCTACCAACTAACTTATCAGTTTTTCCTCAATAATCGCGTGTACACCATCAAGAGATAAACATGAGAGGGTGACCCTAGGGGTATGCATCCGTATCACACGCTACACGAATAACTCACGTGTTGTACGAACAACTCACGTGCTAATAATATAATGCGCACGGACAACTCACGTGCTAATAACATCAATATCTGGATCTGCACGGACAACTTACGTGCCTATAATATCAACCACACATACAACTCACGTGCCAACAATCACAATTCGCCCGGCTTGGTCACAGGCTACCAGTCCAGCTCATAACACAGAGAAAACAAATATACAAGAGTATATGTACGTGATAAATATTTACCAATTTCATACTGCTGGACTGGTATATCTAGTATGCTACAGTGTTGGCACGCTCAATGTGTGCTATAACAACTAAAACAAATAATTTACACCAGGAATGGCAGTTATCAGGTTCAACCGGAAGAATAACCTCAACGAAATATCAAATATGGTACAAGTAGCCCATAGAGGTGTAGAAGTAGGAGAAATATTTCAACTTGAAGCTTATCAGTCATTTCAAGGTATGTCATAGCCTAAACACTACCCGAACATGGAAATAGTACCTCGGTACATGCATATGAGCTCTACCCTGCACATGTGCGTCACCCAGAGTACGTAGCTATCACAAATAATCCAGACAAGTAATGCCTCAACCAAGTTTAGATAAGATACTTACCTCAAGCAAGCCAAATTACTCCCTTAACAGGCCCTTCTCCCGCATATCAACCTCCGGAAGGGCTAGTCAAAATAATGTAATACTATCAATAAAAGTTATAGCAAATGATTCCAGATGATAAAGCTAATATCATTAACTAAAATTAAAAAGTCAACCCAAAAACTTAACATGGGGCTCACATCTCAGAACCTGACAAAATTCACAAAATCCAAACACATATTCACTTACGAGTCCAACCATCCTAAAATCATCTAATTCTGGCCTCAAATCGACCTTCAAACCTCCATTTTTCATTATACAAAGTTTCCACAAAATCCCCCATTTCTTTATTTTAATCCACTAATTAAAATGCAAAAACAAAGATAGAATCATGGGACAACAGCTGGCTATCGCTCAGCTGCAAAGCCACCTAAAAACTCCCAGCACCGTAGCAGCGGGAACAACTCCCCCGGCCGAACGGGTACCGGAGAGATTGAGAAATAATGGTTCGATAGCCGACCCTGCTATCATAAAAATGCTTGAGGATCTTACCAGAAGGATCGAGTCAGGCGAGAAAATGATAGCAGCCAATGACAAGAAGGTCGAAACTTACAACTCCAAGGTCAACCAAATCCCGGGGGCGCCCCCGGTGCTGAAGGGCGTAGACCCGAGGAAGTTCGAGCAGTGGCCGTTCCCAGAGGAAGCGGCTTCGAAACACATTCCAAAGAAGTTCAGAATGCCGGAACTCCCGAGATACAATGGGACCTTAGACCCCAACGAGCACGTTACCGCATACACGTGCGCAGTGAAAGGCAACGACATAAAAGACGACGAGATCGAGTCCGTCTTACTAAAGAAGTTCGGGGAAACGCTCTCAAAGGGGGCCATGATGTGGTACCATAGTCTAGCTCCCAACTCCATAGACTCATTTGCCATGCTGACAGACTCCTTCATAAAGGCACACGCCGGTGCCATCAAGGTAGCAACAAGGAAGTCAGACGTATTTATGATCAGGTAAAGGGAAAACAAAATGCTGCGAGAGTTCGTATCTCGCTTTCATACGGA